TAATTATATATTTATATATATATTTCTCTCTCTTTAAATATTTCCACGTGGTCCTTATGGATATCCAATATGGATTACCTACCATGGCTATGGTATCAACAGCTTTAACAACACCCAGGCCTCTTGTTCTTTATCGAGTGACCAGAGATTTAAGTGCCTACCAGCAGTAAACTAGCAATCACTTGGACAAGCCTTTGGCACCCTTCCAAGAACTGGAAAAAAAGGAATACTTGACCGCAAGGGAAGTGCCACGTAAAGATATGTTTCTCAACTCATTCCAACAGCAAGAAGACCCCACGGAACACAGTTCGACCTCCGTTCCCCTCGGTGCAACTGGTCTGATTTCCCCGGCGGGGGGGGTCAAGGGCAGCCAGAGGGTGTTCCTATCTAGCCAGGAATGTAATGGAGCTCTGGAGCTGTTTTAAAGACTGGAAGCATTTGGGCATTTTCAAGTCAACTGGCCTTTTTCATTAAAGTTTTCATTTAAAGCCCCAACAGTGCCAGGAGTCTCCATTTTGCCTGTTTTCAGAGGCACCTGTAAGGTCTGGGAAAGTTTCCAATGTCTGTGAGCTGGAGAACATGAGAGGACCAGGAAATGACAGTAACATCTTTCTCTTCCTCAGCTTCTGCTGTGGGAGTCAATAACTGGTACTGATACACAGGACATTGATCTGCCTGTTCGGAGATAGGGAGGGAGTGGAGGAGAAATGAGGTAACGCTAAGTGTCATCCAAACTTTACGTGTTGGAAAATCACTTGAAGGAAACTCCCTGCTCCCCTCCATAACACGTGGATCTGGCAGGGGTAATGAGCCTTCAGGAAGCGTTTCACTTACACCCTTTCTGGCTCAGTAAGGTCACGGATGTCGATGTTGAGGACTGAAGGAGAACCAAGTCTGAGGTTTCTCTTTTCATTAACCTATTTCACAAAGGACCCTCCTGGGAAATCCAGAGACTCCGATGACAAGGTGAAAAAAAAGAAAAAGCAAGCTAACAACTTCTTCCAAAGACAAGTAGGGCTTCACTAAATTTCTACAAACTTACTGCCATTCAAGGCAAGACAAAGCCTCAAACAATAAATTATACTGGGTGTCAGATGCCAGTTCGCTGTCCCCTTTGCAACAATGGTGGCACTTGATTATTCTCTTTCAGTCCAAAACACTCGTGAATTCACTATGATCTTTGTTTTCTGTTCTGGAGCCCAAATCCGCTAAGCTCTTCTCCTCATCTTAAACTTCAGCAATCTCATTCTCTTCTCACCTGCGTGACAACAGGCATCGTCCATTCCACAAGTCTCTGACCTGCCCTGCAAAACTCACAGTCCCTTTTCTTTCCTACTTCAAAAAGAAAAAAAAACAACAACAAAACACACAAACACCAACATAGCTATTTTTTTTTTTTTTTTTTACAGTGACCTGGAAACATTCGCCTTTTCACTGCTGCTGTGCAACAGCAGAACCTCTCCTTTCGGCTTCCCACCTCCTGCCCATTGCCGAGCCAGAAATCCCTCTCCCAAACCATTGCTCAGAGCCATACAAACAACTTCTCGATCCCAATTCTTCCGTCTCCTACACACACACCGATTTTCCATCCTGCCCTCCGTGTGCTTCTCGGGATAATTCACCCACTCCCAAGAGAAAGCGTCAAGTTTCAGGGTCACATTCACACAGGTTGTCTGAACACTGAGGGTTGTTCACTGTACTCTTTGGATCCCAACTTCAGCGCCTGACATGCTATGGAGAGGAAAAGACTCTTCCAGCTCCCATCCAACCTCCCCATAGCCCTTCTCTGGTCATCAAAGACTGGTGAGCCCAGCTCTCCAGCTGGGATGCTCATTGCTAACCTACCAATGCTTTTGTCAAAGAGGAGGCTCTATAACTTCTCTCCTCCCGTCTGAATGCTATTGCCCTCTAGTTACACTTCAGTGCTTTAAAAAACATCTTTCCGAAATACTCTGCACAAACCCATTCTCATAGTGCTGATCCCAGCAGAACTGCCCCACCTTCTCGCAGCCAGTTCTGCCTCCACCTGGTAATACTTGCAGCATTTTTCCTCCTCGTCTCCCCTTCTCCTCCCCATCACACAGCTCTTCACAGCATTTACTGTGCCTCCTTCCCTTAAGCTTCAGGGAATCCAGAAAAAAAAAAAAGCCGCTACTTCAAGACTGCGGATCATTTGGAAGAAATAAACTGCATAAATATACCCAATTCACAGGCACACCTTAGGGAAGGAGCTATCAGGAAACTTGGGCTTGGAATAAAGGAGGATGCAATGTAGTTTTTATAGGCCACACAGGTAATGGCGCATATTAAAATATGTAAAATATGTATTTTTCCATATTTTAACAGCATGGATTGAAAACAAAAGGTTATTCCTAATGGGTGTGGTCAGACCCAAGCATTAGTCTCCATCGTCCTCCCACTCCCATCCACTCATAGCAGGATGAAATCTAATCCAAAAAGCCTATACCCCTGCCCTCATAATATCAGATGGAAGTGGGGAAAGTAGGGGAGACCCTTCTTACGGGGAGTAGGATGCCACTAAAGGAAACTCGTTTTTCCATACATTCATCTCACATGATGATTTCTACGGTCCATCTGTTTCCTGGCTCTTGAGCATCATTCACGAAGACTCCAGAGACTCCTCAAATTATCTTCTCCCAGCTGGAAAGCTGCCCACGGCTGGGAGGGGTTTGGGGAGGCAGGGGGAAGGAGGAAGCAGATCTCGCAACTTGTACTGCATACAGAGCTCAAATCCTGGACACGAGAGGTTGATGGAGCCACCAAGTCCAGATAGAAGCAGCCAGTTAAGTTCCCTTTGTAGGTCTGGGGTTTTTTTTTTCTTTTTCTTTTTTTTTTTTTCCCCTACTTTTTGCACTTTTGGAAGAAAATTGTTAAAATGCCAATTCTTGATGTGACCAAGGACTCCGGAACAATGCGTAAGAGCCTTTTCCCCTCCCCTCTGAAAGGCTGCTAGTTCCCCCCACTGAGGGCACTAGGACGCTGCTGAAAACGGCACAGAACTGGATGAGATTTCGGCTGATTTCACAATGGTGATGACACTGGTGGTGGCAACTTTGGTCGGGGTAATAGGCCCTCGCGCCACAGTACGAGCAAAGGTCTGGAGTGCTTCGTACTTGGAGCGCAAGGCGTCCAGCTCTAGCTTCATGCTGCTGTTTTCTCTGGCCAGCTTCTCCACCTCTTGCTGCAGCTCAACCCGCTGCCTCTCTAGCTCCTCTTTCTGAGTCACGCGCTTGATGCGGCAGCTGGCGGCGTAGCCCCGGTTCTTCAGCGTGCGCCTCCGCTGCTTCAGACGGATGACCTCCTCTTTGGTGAGACCCCTCAGGTGCTGGTTCAGCTCCCGTACGGACATTGACACGAGTTCATCATCACTCAGCACTGGGGCATTCTCTCCTGACTCCTCCTTTACCTGCAAATACCAACAGCACAGGGGTAGCAGCAACCCTTACGTGAACGGCTGTTCTGGACAGCGAAAAAGAGACAGGCCACCCCTCGGCAACGTGACACCCCTACCTGGAAAACACCCTTGAAACACTGTAGAGAGCACATGCTCCACTAAAACATCTGGATAAAACATGGCAGAGATCTGAGCACTGCTGTTGTCTGGGTTTGGGTAACCCTCTTAAGTCAGAGAAAGCAGTGAGCCTTACACACCCAGTATGCACTTAACAGTAAGATTTTTTAAGGAGATAAATGTAAAGCAGACTGAAGCCCTTTGTGTTCCTTTGTCAGGACCCGGAATTCATACTGAATGCTAAAGATCACAGCATTATGGTGGGACACCAATGCAGCATCTCAAAAGCAGAATAGCCACTTGTATACAGGGTTTATTCACCATTTTGTAGCTTTTTGTTGAAGATTGCTCATCCAAGTAGTGAGCAAAACCAACCCTGCTTGGCTTCAAGGACCACAGGCCAGACTCTGAAGTTACATGAGAAAGACACCAAGGCCTTGTGCCTTTTTCTCAAGCAGGTTTGCTGCCACAATTATTTTTCAGAATCATAGAATCATTTAGGTTGGAAAAGACCTTTAAGATCATTGAGTCCAAAACCTTTAAGACATCATCCTTTTGTCTCTTCAGAGACTGCAGGACATCTGGAATGACAAGCTAAGACACTGGAAAGAAACTGCAACAATGCATGCATAACCCATGCGCAGACCACCACCAAGCCGGTATGTCCGAGGCATTTACTGTCTCACGGATCTGAGAGACACCAGCTGAGCACGTCCTTTCCCCAATGCCTCCCAGTCCTGAGAGCAGAAGTACTTCATTGACAGGCCTGGGAGCACTGGTTTCAGGATGCTGCCAATACCTGCTACAGTCAAAAGTCTCTTGGATAGCAACTGAGATACTCCAGCCCCCACGCCATCCCAGAGACTTTAGACTTCTTTTTAGGTATCGCCAGTATTCTTCTACCCTAACCTTTCCTGTAGATAGCGGGAAATTGTATTGGCACCCATTTGTAAGAGTCTCTCAGAATGAAAAAGAACAGTCACGTACAACCAACGTCACATGGAGCATGGTTCTGCGACAGCCTCCCCTGCCACCCAGCATCACCCACTTGGCCTTCTTCCCTACCTTTAATGCCTTGTTCGGTTTGGGATTAGTCGTCATAACCTGAGCACAGTCTTCTGGACAAAACTGCTCAGAAATTGCAACTGGAAAAACAAAACAAGATTTTCAGGTTACAGTAATCTCAGAGATGAAGGTAGGAAGAAGATACCCAACACACTGTCCAAACCCCCAACACAACTACCATTAAAAGAAATAACCACTCAGTTGTTTAAAACACTGGGATGGATTCAGACATCAGTTTACCCCATTCAGATACAAGAAAGAGAAATCTGCGTTGGTAAGTGCGTTGCTTTCTAACACTAAAGACCTCATATTTCACTATTAACTATGCTAAGATTAAGCAATGAAGACAGGGCAGGGACGGGGGAAAGGACACCAGCTCCCGTCTGTAAACAACAGTTACGCTAACCACCATGCCACCGCCTTGCAGTATGCCGTCCCTTCTCAAGGGGAGCGCAGCGTGCGGCCTCCCAGGCCCAGTCACTGGCTCACCTCCCTCCGGAGGAATCCCAGACGCTCAGAATGGCCTATTAGGGACTGAATTAAGAGTTACCTCCGCTCATAAAAGGCACTGAAAAGCCACAAGACAACAACTCCCTTCATTCTTATTTTGATTATTATTAACCCGGCTCAAAATTGAATCAGTAACCCAGAAAGAAGCTGCCTGGTTTGTAACCTGCTTTCAGTGCCGTCCCCACCCAAAGGAGACGCTACCAGAAAACCCAAACAACAGAAACAAAAGCCCCCCGATAACAAAGCAAGGCGGGAGTTCACCTCTCCCAACGCACCACGACTGTTGCTTCCCAATCCTCTCGGCCTCAGGCTGCGAGAGCTGACCTGCCTGATATTTCTAGTGACGCGGAGGCACGTCCACCGACAGAGAGACCATCCCCTGCCAAGACGCTGCCCTTCACTCTCACCTTAGCCAGCGACTAC